AACCTTATTTAACAAGGACTCACTCTTTAAGTCCCAGTGTCGTCCTTTGATATCAGTCGCACAATTCAAGTCATATACTCCGTGGCAACAGGGAGGAGACTTCTTGGGATTCCCCTCGCCTTGGGAGTTTACATGATTAGTGTGTGACGGTCTACTCACCCAATGTAGCCATCTCCCAAAGAACAACACCAAAAGACCAACTATAGAGAAAAGCACAGAGGTCGTGACTATCCCCACTACATTAACATTACTTTTCTTCTCTTCTCTTTACTTGATGAACTTAAGGCAAAAGGGCGTATCTCCACCTTTCCATGCCTTCGCTCTTGACTTAACCCTATGACACCAGGCCTCAGCTGCTCAAAGCCCTTAGCCAATGGCCTAGCAAGGTTAATAGAGTAGGGATCGGAAAAGAATACCAATTTAGGTGACGGGTCTGCCGCATAATCGTAACTAAATGATCTTTACGTACACTCCGAATTAAGAATTCAGCAAACGCCGCTCTCGCTCAGGACTTATATGCAAACTATGTAGTCCCGAGTGGAAATTATATTGACAAGTACGAAATCAGCCACTATAACCACTGAAATTCTAGATCGGTTTGAAATAAACTCGCTGATCACGACTTTTAGGGAAGCTGACTGAGGTTTTCTGAGCAGTAATTTATCGAAATGAGTTTAAAAGAGTGGGATTTTTTTATACTCACACATCACTTTTGCTGCTGTAAAGGCCTTGATAAAGTGCTTCGGGGGCCATCCATTTTACAGGAAGTTTTTTGGACTTCGCTGAGCTTCTCACATCTTCATAGATTTGTCTCATCAACCCAAAGTCTGACACTTTGATTTGGTTGTCATGGCCAACAAGAACATTACGGGCAGCAAGGTCTCTGTGAACAAGATTGTTTTCGGCGAGATGATTCTAATTTTAAGAAGGAAAGAGAAAAAATGAAAATAAGTACCATAAAACTTCAGTTACAGGGCTACTATTGCCTAAAAAGGCATGGGTGAAGGCGTGAGAATTATAGGAGCCAATAATCAAAAGTAAAATATCACAACTGAACTGATCTAAACGGCTGATTCAAGTTCAGACAAAACATGCCGAATTTGGTTCGATCGACTATGACAATTTCTCCGCTAAGAACCATTAATCATCTAGAAAATTAACTTATTTTAATTTCCTTTATTTCTTGCTTGTGGAATAGTCTTTGACAACGATCTTTGAAGGATGAAAAAAACAAAACCTGAATGGAAGCAACGTTTCTCAGAAAATAATAATATAGTAATTACCATTCCTTTAGCAATTTGCCAAGCAAATAAAAAGAGTTGTTTGGTTCGAAAGTTCTCCTCCTCGTCTTCTTCATCACTGCTGAGATCCTCGTGTATGCTTTCGATTACAGGTGGCATGGCGGGTGAAGGCTTTTCTTGACTTTTTCCTGTTACCTGTTGGCTGCGTAGTAGTTCTTTGTCCTTTACTTTCCACTCCCCATCCTTAAGAAAATTAAAAAACAAAATCATTAATGGTCTAGCTTAAACAACTCGAAGAAACCGTATAGATCGACTCAATCGCTAAGACGCAGCTAACGCGCCACTAGAACTCGGCCAACAGCGAGGTCTGATGGAAACCATGTAGCCCCTTGTGGACGGCCATTCTCCAGGCGTTGCGGTCTGTAGCGAAGGTTTCATATCTTAGAGTGGGATTCGATTCAGTTGTTTGTTTCAGGCTGTCTTTCAACCTCTTTAGTGGGTGTCCAATGCTACGTGCACCGCTGGTGACCTAAGAGAAGAGGACCATTTTCGGGAAGTGCGTGTCTTCCATTCAAACCACACGTCCAACCCACCAAAAGACGGTATCAAAGGTCTTGGTCAGGTGCACAAAGAGGATGTACAGGCTCTGATTCTGCTCGCGGCACTTTTCCGTGATCTTTCCTACGGGGAATATTATGTCGATTGTCCTCTGTTTCTCCTGAAGGCACACTGACTCTCGGAGACGAAAATCATCCAGGAGGTGGTGTGTGATGCAGCTTAGTATGATGTGTGCCATGATCTTTCCTTGAATACTCAACAGCGAGATACCTTTGTACTGTGGTTGTCACAGGATGCTCTGTCATCTTTGCTTTTGTACAGGTGGATGGCGTTGGCGTCCTTGAAGTCCCTAGGCGCTGAGCCCTTGACCCAAAACTGCTGCATCAACTCAGTGAGCTTGACGGTGATGACCTCTCCTCCCTCCTTTTAAATTTTTGGAGGTATCTCATCAGCAACAGGTGCTTTCCCAGCCTGGAGCTGCTTATTTTTTTCTGGGTTTCCTTCAGTGTTGGGGGATCGTCAAGAGAGCTTAGAACCGGGCGCTGAAGCATATCTTGCATGGCTCACTGGTCGATCTGTTGAGAAGTTGGCTAAAGATTTTATACCAACTTTGAACGATATCAGACTTCCCTGTAAGCATGGTTCCATCAGAAGATGGGACAGGAGCCATGGCATTGAAAAGGTACCATATACAGTCTTCAAGCCCTCGAAGAACCTCTTAAAGTTGTGCACGTCTGAATATTGCTCCAGCTCTGCAGCCTTGTGTTGCCACCACTTATCCTTCATCTGTCTCAGCTCAGTTTGACTTTTTTTCTGAGGTGCTTGAGGCGATCGGGCCTGGCAGTTGAGGTCTTTTCTTAAAGCCAATTGGTAAATGCTTCCTGCTTTTGCTTCAGAAGGCAGGCGTTTTCTGCGTTGTTGGTTTCAAACAAGTCCTGATGTTTTCGCTCTTTCTGTTCAAGTGGTAATTTGTAAAATCGAATGCTGCATCTCTAAAATTACCCTAGGCTTTCATTGCATTATTTTCAGTCGGTAGGCTGTCGATCTTGTCCTCAGGTTTGTTGCGAGGGTTGCTTTGATGTCAGGGTCGGCACAATATGACTATTAATCACTCTCAAAGAAAAAACACTGACAAAATGTTTGAGCTAAATGTGAGGACAAGAACAGGTGTTTAACCAAGTAGACGTAATTGACAATCATGAAGTTTCTCTGTGTTTAGCTTAAAAGTGGCAGGTTTACAGCTATCAAACACGTATCCTCCCTTTAGCAGTCTGTTGTCAAAATGTCTGGGATGAACTAAACCACGACAGTTAAAGAAAGTCCTAGTGGCTTCACCGTGCGAAGTTTACCCAGGAAGCCACGGCCAGTGTCGAGTCTACAACTAAAATAGCATTGAAACGACAGGTTGTGACGTAATTCAAGAAGGCGCATGCGCAGAAGTAGTACACCAAAGATGAAAATAGCATGACCGCTATAGTAACAGAGGACCTACAGCGACTATTATGTTGCGTTCTTCTTCTTTATTACGAGCTCTCGCCCCCCGCCCCTCTTATCTAAGGGTCTGGATAACCGCTCCCCCCTTATTTCAAGGTCTGGATCAGGCACTGCACTAAACTGTGCAGTCGACGTATTTGGAGACTTGCTGAAATTGGAGGCAGATCCCAGTAGAGCTTCTCGTTTGATATATGATATCTCCAGCTTATGTTTAGAGCAGCACGTAGCAGCCTTGTGTAGCAGCCATCAATTTGTTCTTCCAGTGTAGTAGTCAATGTCAAACTCTCTGACCCGTACAACAGAACAGATTCAACTAAAACTCTAAAGAAACGTGTCTTTAGATCTCTGTTGAGGTTGATTTCCACACCGCTGTTAGTTTGTTGCTAGCGGCACAAGTTTTTCCTTTACGGATCTGGAAGTCTTTCTTCGTTTGATCTATGCAAGAGTCTAAGTACTTGAAATCGTCCACTTGTCTTAGCTTTGAATTGTCTAGGGTAGTAAGGTCGCCCCGTGTCGGAGGTTACAGGCCATGTGTTCGGTCTTGCCGGTGTTAATGTGCAGAGCAACTTCTGTGGCAGCAGTTTCAACTCCCTCTAGCAGTGATTGGGCTTTATCCAAGTTATCTGAAATCAATGCGATATCGTTAGCAAAGTCTCTGTCAGTGATCATAACTGCGGGAAAGCGATGACTTCTTCTCCCAGTCAGTGTAAATCCCAGGTCTTCGTAGCCTTCAACTGCGGATCTCATTGCATAGTCTAATGCTATGATGAACACGAATGGAGCTAACGTGTCACCCTGCAGTACTCCAGCATGGAAAGCAAAGAAATCTGTTTCTCCACCAGGAGAGCAAACAATGGCTTCAGTGTTATAATACATCGACGCTCTAGCCAAGACTATTTGATTTACGATGCCGTAAGCCTTCAGAATTTCAAACATTTTGTCTCTGTTCACCGTGTCAAACGCCTTTTTGAAGTCCACAACAGTAAGAACTGCTGTTATAGATTCTTGGCCTATATGCCTTCTACCAATGTTCGAAGAGTAAATATCTGAGCAACTGTTGATCTTCCTGGTCGGAACCAGTTTTTATTTGTGCGCAGAAGAGGTCTAAGTAGGGGCGGATCCTGTTACGAAGCACTCTATTATAGATCTTAGCTGCTGTTTGAATTAGTGCAATACCACGTTTGTTATGAGGTTCACTGGGATCGCCCTTTTTGGGTACGGGGTTTATAATGCTCTTGGACCATAGTTCAGATTTTCCGCTACCTTCAAGCATCATATCACACACGTCTAGCAACTGGTCATTAAGTAAGCCACTTTTCTATACCTCAGCTGGGAGTTCATCTATACCAGGTGCCTTATTTTTGGCAAATGTGTCATGCTGGTATTGAGTTCTTTGAAAGTGAAGGCATTAGTGCTGATCGGAATAGTATCCTGTACAATTTGCTTACTGGGTTCCTGTCTTCGGCCTCAGGTTGACCTAAGAGTTCAGCAGTTTCGCCTTTATAAGACCACCTGTAGCTGACGGGGTCCTTCCCGTTATCTCATTAATAGTATCCCATGTTGTTTTTTGCCTGATGCTGCACTGCAGCGTTTCAATCTCAGCGCATTTCTGGGCCAGATATTCCACTTGTTCGCTGTCATATGCAGCTTGAAGTTCCTCTTTCGCTGTTTTAGGTAGTTCGCATTGTCAGAGTTGGGGAGACGCTTATTTTTCAAATAGGCTTTCTTCAACTCGTTCCTTTTGTCCTTGACAAGTTCTTTCTCCCAGGGTACTCGTTTTTTCACTCGTTTCTTCTTAGGAATACACTTCTCAGCTGCATACATTTGGGCCTTGATCATCGTAGTATACAGATCGTTCACACTGTGTTTTTCCTCAAGCTGGTACAGGGCCTCAAAGCGATTCTTAACTTCCACAGTATAAGACTCTCTTACGGAATGACTGGTGCTAAAACAATGCCAGTCGAAACTGGTACGTTTGGCAGTTGTTGTTTTCCCATTGGCTAGCAAACTGAGGCGTAGTTTAGTTACGACAATTTTATGGTCTGAATATACTGTACTGAGAGGGTCATGTGCCTGACAGTCTTTGAAACACTGTTCCACTATTTCCTGTTTACCAGTACATAATCAAGTCTGGCTTTGCAACCATTTGAGTACATGAACGTCCACAACTTTTAAAGCTCTTTTGGAAGCGTGTGTTATAAACTATAAGCTCACATGCAGTAGCCATATCCAACATAAACGTCTTTCTTCCAAAGCTAAACCCATTAAAGTCTAGGGGACTGATATGTGCATTCAAATATTACTTCATATGATCTAAAGGTTATGTCCAGGTAGCTTCTTTATTAATTCAGAGAGTGTGTTGTAGAAGTCTAGAGCATCGCTGTCACCCGAGCAGTTCGTTGGACTGAGCAGCATATAATAGTAGTAGCAGGGTTGTCACTTAAGTTTGCCACGATGATTCGGCTATTCACTACCACAATATTGCCCTCGAGGGAGTTGTAAGCAGAGGGGCTTAGTAGCATACCCACTCCTCCCACGCAACTGTTCACGGACTTCCTCCAGCACGAGGAAGTGGCCAAGATCCAGCCTTTGCCGGCATCAGTATAGTGCACGTCCGCAGTATCGTGAAATTTTCGATGTTCCTAGAGACAAACAACAGATATTCCTTTCTCCTCTGTCAACGCGGTAAGCTCTCCAATCATCTCAATGGAGTTGAGTGAACGGATGTTAAAAGTTGACACCAGAGTGTTTATCTTGCATCTTAAGAGTCTTCCAGTAGCAGACTTATCAACTCCAACATGGTTGCCCACTGGTGGACGCGGCCCTTGTTTATCCCGGCGAGGACCGAGCAAGAATGTAGGGAAGTTTGCAGCGTTTAATAATAATAATAATAATAATAAATGTCTTTATTGCTCATTAGATAAAAATACATATCCAAAGTTACAGGATAAAAAGATTAAAAGTTCATCTAAATTACAAAAGAATAAAAAGATTAAAAAAATGCAAAAAACTAGTTACACATATCTGACATAAACTATCATAAAAGGTTGTATTAAAATTAATCTATTTACAAATGTCTTCTCATAACGTTCGGTGTTCATCTTGCGCCTTTGAAAGCTTTTACCTCTAAGGTTGTCGGTTAGATTGTTCTTTTCTTGCGGTAAACACACCTTCAGAGGGTGGTTATCATGCTGTTTAGCTTTTTGAAAAATCGCTTTATCTTGTTTTTGTAGTAATGATCTAATTAATACTTAACTGTGTAGATATAAAGTTTAAATTATAGCATCTGTCTAAAAATTGCTTACGGACATCGGAGGCACCATAAACAGATAGTCCGTAGGTTATGTTAGGAAGCACAATACTATAGAAGAGATAATCAATTTCTGTCCAAATCAATGTTTTGCTGGGCTCACAGAGACAAATCCCAGCAAGCGATGCTGGAGGAGCGCCAGACCTTCCAGCGCTGGGCTTGTTTTCTGTAGGGGTTGTCTCCCTTAGCCTGTGGCAAAAAAAAAACCATGACTGCCAGGCAACAGTTTCGTGACCTTGACAGGCCTAACGGGTGTTACTCCTTGCCCAAGGGCTACCCGGAACTATGCATTGCAGGGTAGGGAGGTTCATGACCCTGACGCACCAAATGCACCAAGTACACCAAGTATCCGCATACCCATACCCGCATTACTTGTAGTGGTAAATAATTATAAAACTTCTTACTTGATTTGTAGCGGAAGTTGAGGGAATCACTTCAAGAACGGCATCTTTGTCGCTTTGCTGTGCAATGTTCACTTGTTCCTTGTGTGCAGAATGTTCATCGTCCATAGCCTCACTATTAAAGGCGAACCTTTGCTAAATGATTTTTAAAAAAGGCGATTAATTTATAATTATATGTAAGAAAATTGTAACATTAGATTGTTAGAAGCTTCTGTCCGTAACTAAAAATTAAAATATCACACAAATTTAGGCAGACTAATGCCTTTTTCTTCTTATTGTTTTATTTGCTAGTTCCCTCAGCTTAAAATCCAATTTAAATCATGCTATAAAATCTTATGTACCAATAATTATCTTCCATGAGTTTCGGGGTACTTGTGCGTAAACTGTGTATTTCGACTAACAGAGGACAGAAAGGAGGTGAATTTGTTCATTTAAAGTTCCACTGAAATAAGATGGAAATTTTATAAACCACGATATCTAATTCAATAACAATAGTCTTTTGTTACGTGATATCTCTTCAGTCACTGAAACGTCACCTTTCGCTTCGCCCTATGCTCTTACGAATGAAATATATCATGTTACACCCTTCGTATCGCGAGACAAGGCATCCTCGGAGAGCCAGAGGCAGTCAGTCGGGTCGGGAGAAAAGGCGCGGCAAAAATTAGTTTTCATGCAAGGGCGGAAGAGCCCCTGGGTGCCGACACTTACTAAACTATTTCCAAACGGTCAAGCTGACTGTGTGCAAAGAATGCTTTGTATTATTGTGCCCAATCGATAAACACCATCTCCTGAGTTCTTTTGGTGTGTTCGTACACGACAGCTATTGTCTCGCCAATATGATACTTGTTTGGCTCTTGCACCAAAGAAATACACGCTGTCAGGAAAGTTTCAGTTCGATATAAAGCCCGTTCATGGATTCAAAGAAACTGCAACTGTCTACCCGAAAACTAATTTTGGAAACGTATGAAAGGGTATTTAAGAGTGCATCCACGATACGACCAGGCAGGGGTGGCACAAGCCATGTAACCGATTTCGATGAAACTTGGCCAGTTTGAAGGGGTCTACCCAAAACTACTTGACTCTAAGTTTAAAGAAATTTGGTCGAAACCGGGGGGAGTTGACCACCCCCCTTGTTTTTGTTCTAAAAAATGACCAAAAAACACCTAAAAATTGGTCAAAAGTATAAGGCTCTACTGCTAAAAGAATTCCATCAAATCTTTTCATATTTTCAGTGAATGTTATCCTACCCAAAGACAATTTATTGCAACTGTTTCGTTCTTCAACCACAAGTTCCTATGACACAAGTCATCTCAGCCAACACCAACCCCTCTCACCCAATAGTGAAAACTGTTGAAATATCCAAAGTTTAGGCCGAAATATCTCCAATGCCGGAGCATGCTTCACAAAACGGAGCATACCGTCTAGAAGACGGGACTTCATACTAACAATATCTGCAAAAAAAATCTTTGGGCACTTATTTAATTATTCCACAGGAAGACTGCAAACACGTCGTCCACCACAGGGTACCAGTGTCAATTTTGTTTTCATTATAACTCGCTAATTCGGTAATTATCGCACAGCAACGGACAGACAATGCCACAAAATGATTACACGCCATACACTTTAATGAAATAGAACCATTTCTATCTAGTTGCCTAAATAAAAAAAGGGCCCACCACAGGGTACCCACGTCAATCTTTTTTTCCCCCTTTCATTATAGCGCGCTAATTCGGTAATGATAACGTAGCAACAGACAGAAAATGCCTCAAAATGGTTACACACTATAAACTAAAAAGAAATTGAACCAATTCAAAAGCTTTAGTTTGTCCTAAGCCATGAAAATGAGAATCGACGGCCTTATGATGACCTCTATTATTGTATAAGTGAACTTCGTGACGAAATTTACTCTTCGCTAAGTCAAACACCTGAGTCACAGAACACTATCAAAATGCTTACATTGTCTGTATTTGAACTTTAGAATGATTGTATAATAAAATTTGCTTTTGTTCGTCTAGTAAAGGAATAGTACAATTGCTTGAAACTTGCACGCCACATTGCATCTTGATACAGAAAACGTTATCCAAAAGAATTCCCTTTTCTGAAAATAAATTGATTTGCTTGCGACTCAAGTCGGTTGCCTAATACGCCTGAAAAGGAGAAAAAAAGGAGAAAAGCGTTTGGCTGTCTACAGCCAAACGCTTTTTTTTCTAGTCCCTGGAAATTACTTCCTGGCAAGCGCATACATCTTTGTAATTTGATAGCTTGATTCGATTTTCCATAATAACTACAAACAGAACAAACGTTCGCTTTAAAAATACAAATTGACGCGAACGAATTGAGTTGTTTTGTTTTCTTCTTTAAAAACGGAGTTTTTACATGTATAAAGGTTTGGCGATCGTAAATGTTGAATTCGGGCTTAGGATATGTAATAGACCTAACAGCCTAGTGTTGAGATTCACACGCTTTCTTATAAATAGACCGTTGATTGGAAAAAGCGTGAACGCGCATGGATATTTCAAAGTATTCCTCACATGCGCCGATCGGTTAGAGGTATAGGATGTAGAGGTGAAAAGGTCTCTCGTTAAACACTATGTCGCAGTTCTCGTGCTCTTCTGCCGTGCACTGTACCAGTGAGTGTGACGTATCAACTAGATACCCCGATCGTACACAGTTTTTTCCTTTGAAATCTTGCGTCAGTGATGTAAAGGCGCATTTGAGAGAATTGCAAGCAACACAATCATGTGTAGCCTCTGAGAGAGAGCTGATACTTGCTCGTGTCGGTTTGTTTGACAAGGAGGGTAAGGATATGGTTGTTTGCCCCAAGCATCGCGTTTTACTTGGAGTAAAGTATTGTCCTTCAAGAAAATGCCAGCATCCGCTTCATGGTCGCCGTAAGGGTAAAGTATCCAGAGGGGTGAACTTGAAAATGTCGAAAGAGATAAAGGAAAGGTGGGACGTTTTGGTTCCCGTGGGCTCAGGTAAGCGTGATCACTGAAGGTAAATACGGTACTTATACATGCTTTGGTTTCTTGATGATTTCGCCTCATGTAAGGGAATCAAGACAGGATTCCAATCACTGTATTCCAGTATTTGTCAGTGGAACTTGGGTTCTTTTTCAATCATTAGTGGGATTCCGGATTCCACTAGCAAAATTTTCTAGGATTCCGGACTCCGGATTCCCTTACATGGGGCAAATGATTGACTAATACACAAGTTTAGTCAATTGTTTTATTAATATATACAAAAGTGGAAAAGGAGTTTTTTTTTTCTTTCTTTTTTTTGGCGGGGGTGGGGGGAAGGATGGAAGATCTTGTAAGAAATTAATTATGAGTTATAGGGTATGATATTTATTTCGCAAAAGAATAACAAACAAACAAACACATAAGAGATTGTGTGGTGAATTTTGATCTACAAGAGTTTTAATCTATTTTTAAATTTACCAGGTCAATTTGCCCTTCCGTTGTTTTCCTTTTTGTATCTTAGCTAGTTACGTTCTAACGGTAGCCCATAGTTATAGGTTCCTGCTTCTAATCGGTCATTTTTCCCCATGCAGGAGGGGCGGGGGATAGGGCAATTCTCTCAAAAGCTACAGTGACTATACAGATATTTTTTTGGCGAAACCTCAGGGCCAGGCCTTTTAATATAGAGCCCGGCGTCAATTAAGAATGAGTGTTCTAGAACGGGACGTGAAAATACGCGCCTCACTGAAAAATTATCAGATTTTTGTTTAAAATCCGCACTGGAATTGCCGCTAATTATACTTTTACTGATGGCCTACGCTGGCCTACCAGATCGCGCGGCCTTCTAGTATTTTCTACAGCACTAATCACTAATACTTCCAACAGGGTCAAATTTACATCCCCAATTTCAGAAGAAGAGGTTTCTGTTTCCGCAGATATATGATTTTTTAAAGGCGGGGCCCACTGGGGCCCTCTTTTGGCTAGGAATGGCGGCAAAAACCTATTTAGAATCTAGCTTGGTAAAATCCCTCCCTCTAAGAAATATTAGAATGCCTAAATGGATGTAAGCAAGCCGTTTATTGCTTGGGAAAAGTTCCAAACAGTTTGTTCTATTCAGCCTGTTACGACAAACTAACAAACCATAATGCTACCAAAACTCATTTTAGGTTTATTCTTGTACGCAGGGGCTTGTAGACAATGCCGTGGTGACCATCTAAGAAATGTAGGTTCTACTGACGCGGATTCCGAAGTACAAGATCCCGGACTGGCGTCCACGTCTCACCCAGAGCCTCAGATTCACGAACCTTCACGTTCTACGGAGTCCGCAGAGGAAATAGTAGAGCCAGCACAGTTACTACCGCCTGCTACAGAAGAATCGGAACAATTGTCTGCTGCCCCTGCCCTTCACGTAAGATTCCAAGAAGATCTTCATTAGTGAGGTAAGTTCTTCTTCGGCAGTGTGTGAATGAGTTTACTGATTTCAAAGGGGCGGGATGTTTGCGTCACTTGCTTTGTAATTGTTGTCATAATCCACTGATCTTTAGAACAAATCAGGAAAGGAGGAAGAGGGGTCGTTGTTGCTTGATGTATTGGGCATAATGTTGGTTCTCACACTAATTTGCATAGACTTTGAATAAAATCGGAATTCGTTAAAATTGGTTGTTATACTGAGTCACTATATGGTTGAGTCATAAAATTGTCTCTTTTCAAAGAATGCCTGTCTTCGAGTATGCTTTGCGGTCGTGGTTTCGAATGTTGCTCACTCTTATTTATCGAACTTCATTTGAAGCCTATAGCGCGAAATTTAATAAAATATAATCATCAATTGCTCGTAACAATTACTATTCAAAGCTCATTCTACTCCTGTTATTAATCTTAGAGAGGTTTGAGCAGATTCGTATAGCGTTCATAAACAAAGCCAACGGGCGCAAAGCATACCGGCCAACAGGAATTCTTTAATGTAAAACTTGTACACGCTGACTATACGGTAATAATGCCAAACTGATGGAATAAGTAGATATTTACTAAATACAGCTTTTTTCTCTTCCAGCATAGCGATCGCGACTCAGACCCCAGCGACCGCCATTCAGACGCTTTGTCGCGGACGTCATCTGGATCCCAGGAGTCTCTTGGCGCAGCAGAGACGTCTGCAGAATGGCAGCCCACCCCTCAAATACAGCAGCGCCTTTACTACCTTAATAATTTCCTCAGAATGGCTACTGAAGGCAGGGTCAGCCCGGTGAGGTCACAGTGCCAATGTGACGTTCTTACTATGTCATCCAGAACCCAGCGCTACTACCGGAAAAAAGCGGAGCAGGCTATCGAAGGCGTGCTTGAATCCATTGCCCCTGGCAACACCTCCTGGCTCTACCACCAAGTCATGCAACGCCTGGATTCGTTTACAAGCGGCCGAGGGTATAGTCGAAGACACGCTGGTTGCCAGACTGGTGATTCTGTATGAGGAAGCCGCCTATTGGTACACGAGACAGCAGATCCTGTCGCTTTTCGTGAACGACTACTCGAAGAGCGAGCTATTGGCTTTGATTCCGGGTCTCTCAAAATGGAGAATCGACGAGGCAAGGAAGCACGCTTTCCAAACTAAGCCCGGGCAACCCATTGACCCACCAAGGATCACCAGATGCCGTTTGGATGCTGTGAAAGTTGACCGCTTTCTTGACTTCTTGTCCAGTCCATCAGTTCTTCAAGATGTGGCATATGGCACTAGAACTCTTTAACTGGAGAGTGGAGAGAGCTTAGAGATCCCGAACATGGTGCGCACAGTTATATCCTGCCACCTAGTGCGCATGTACCCGAACTTTTGTGTAGAGTCCAATTTTGAGCCTCTCGGACGCTCCGCGCTCTTCAATATAATCAATTATTAAAAACTGAATCATTGGATAATGCAATTGTAGCATTTTGATTGGCTTAGCCGTTATGGTATATGAGCTATTGTACCATGCTCTCCATATATGGTCGGTGTACGCGTCAGTTTAAAATTGGAAGCTAGCTGAGATTTTTTTCGCGAAGGATAGAACGGCGCCCGAAGCAAATTGTTTTAATTCATTTCTTAGAATGCTAGAAATACAATTTCATCGAAAGAAAAAAGACAAAAACAAACAAAAAAGCCACAAGAGCTTGTTTGAAAGTTTGTCGAAAAACACGTGAAAACACATGGAACTAAAGTACCTTGACCAGCTACGAAAGAAGACAAGTGTTGTTTCTTCATGATTGCGAAGCCATTCGCCGATCGAGTCACTCGCCGATAGATAACTGCGGCTTGTTTATCCGACATCAAGAATATAAATCACAAGTAACCAGCTACAAATACAGGCTATGCAGCCATTCACTAGAGCAATCGAGGCGGCAGTATAGCTTCTTTTCTCGTTCAGCAAAACCAGCTTGTGGCTTCAAACAACTTCATAACAAGCGACCGAGGTAATAGTTTTTCTCCGTTGTTCTTACTTTTATAACTGCACCGAAAATCCAAATTCACAGTAATTTCGACGGCTGTCACTTAAAAATTCTTTTCCTTCACATTATCTGCAGGTTTTTTTGGCTGTTCTGCTGTGTAAAATCCTAGAATCCCAATGAGTTTTTAAAAAACTAATGTTCATCGCTACAATGTTTTGATTTTTCATTCATGCAGTCCAGGCGAGTCCGTTCGCACGCTGACAGTTTTGATAGACGTGTGACATGTGAATAGTGGAAGTCTCTTGTCTTTTCCGGTTTGTTCTGGTCGGGTAGATTCAACGAGATTTTGTGGGCGTTTTTAATAAAACAATTATTCCACTCGAGCTTGTTGGATATGAGATGATTATAGCCAACTCGTCGCTACGCGCCTCGTTGGCTATCTATCATCTCATATCCAACGCGCCCTCGTGGAATAATTGTTAATTATAAAACGTTCGTAAAGGACGAATTTTGATCAGGGTTAATTGCAGTTGTAGTAGTGGTGTAGTAGTAGTAATGGTTTGCATTTAGAAATTAGTTTGAAGCCAAAGAATTTTGTTTCTCTTCAGGTTTGTGGGGCTTCACTAAAGAAATCGTTAGCCGGTCTGGATAGCACTCAGACAGATGGGGTACAGGCGCTCGCCACTCTTGAAGACATCACTCATCAACTCAAACAAGCCGGTGAGATACAAACACCTTCCATTATTACTGTAGGTGCACGAGTTGTCACAACTTTTAATAAGCTGACGGAGTATCAGTATTTATTATTGTGTGTATTTTTTCTATCACAGGACTGGATAGCACAACGGCCGATAACATTCTAATGCGACTCAAAGCAGGTCGGCAGTATCTGAAGACGGATTTCAAGATCCACACAGCCAGCGAATTCCCGTGCGCAGATCACTGCAGAGTGTTCGCCCTCAGTAGGACAGAGAAAGAGTACAACGGTCAGTGCCAACATCAGCATACCATAACCTGTGACCGGTGCGAAGACCTAAAGAATGCTGTCTCAGATCTGCAACTAGCGTTGGATTCAGGTGAAGTACATCTAAGGTAAAACAACTTTGTGACAGAAAAGCGGAGTTTAGCATTTATTGTCAACTAACAACCTAATCCCCAAGGCGCTTTATATGAGTTTCAGTTAGAAATTTTAAATTGCTTTGGGTGGTTCTAAACCTAATGAACATATGTTTTAAATGAAACGCAGTTTACGAAAAAAGTGAGAGTCATCATTATTTTTTGATAAAACGGCTCCAAAGAAAAATTTCTGACGCTATCCCGCCGTGATGTTGACAAGCTCTACTCTTTCCCTTTTTAGTCCTGATAAACGAGAGGAGTTACAGCATGATTTGAGCTGCGCTGCGCCGAGCATAGAAGATTGGAAGTCGCACTTTCTCCGTTCAGTTCACCAGGATGTGGCCAAGAGCGAAATTGATGATAGCCTGAAACCATCACAGGTGCTGCTAATAATGGACTGGGCGATGAAGTTTGTTCCCACCAGCTTTCGCGAAACGCAGCGCGACTGGTTTGGAAAGAAGGGGAAGTCCTGGCATCTCTCGGTGGCCATCACTAAAGCAGAAGATGGAACAATCTCTTCTGTCTTTATCGCTCACTGACCACTATAAACTAGTTTCTCGTGAGCGCGGTCTTTGTTGCGCTAACCGATTGCAAAATTGGATAACTGATAAGAATGCCAGGCCGAGAAAAGACGCTAAAGCTTAAATTCCTAATAGTGAATTTCAACATTTCATTGCTTTCGGCACTTATATAAAGATAAAACGTTGGCGACGCAGGTAAGCGCGCGCAAAAGCGCATGGGACGGAGTACATTTTTAATCCAAATAAAAGGCCATAAACATTCTCGAAAAAAGCAGACCTTCCCGGGTGTTATCTCTGTTTCAAGTCAAAATGCGCAGGTTAATACTCCATTAGCCCTTGACTGTGACCAGGTCCCTTGGCGCACTATTCATGGTAAAAAATGCCTTACTATTATGATTTTCAGACACGTACATATATCCACTTATTTGATGAATGCAATCAAAACTGGTTCAGCATTTCCTCCATCATCGAAGATTCACTAACCACCATGAAGCGAGAGAAATCTAGACTGAATGAAGCTTTCCTGAGATCTGACAACGCAGGCTGTTATCACTGCGCATTTCTTCTTCTCAGTCTTCCAAGCCTTGGACAGCGGGTTGGTGTCCGCATAGCTCGTTATGACTTCAGTGAAGCCCAAGCTGGGAAAGACATATGTGACCGCCGAGCCGCCGCCTTGAAGGGCCACATTAGGCGCTACATTAATGAAGGCAATGACGTCAAGACAGCAAGTGACATGAAAGCTGCTATTGACTCGCATGGGGGCGTCAAAGGGTGCTACTCAGTGGTGTGCAAGGTTGCCGAAAGGTCCCAAAACATGACCAAGCACTCGCTGAGTGGCATACAGTCTTTGAACAACTTCGTGTTCACTGAAAGTGGAGAGATGATCTCGTGGCGGGCCTACAATGTCCGACCCGGAAAGGTCTTTTCCGCGGCGTCGCTAGCGCGTCTCGGTACCCCCGACAAACTTACAAGTTCTCCAGGCATTCAATAGTCCTGACATACTGACTGGTGTCTTCCGTGCATGCAAGAACAGCAGCCCGCAGCTCCTCCAACGGACCCTATAGCCGTAGAACGGATTCAGCTCGAAGAAGAAGAGCGTGTGTCCTTTGGCTGCCCAGAGGAGGGTTGCATAAAAGTTTACCAAAGTCACAGCAGCCTTCAGCGTCACCTTGATGCCGGGAAACACCTTCTCGCGTTAGAGAGAGAGAGTCCACGTACGACGTGATAAAGAAAAAGTGGGCAGAGACCTGCAAGTCAATTTCTGGTAGCTACGTGCTCATCCGCCTCAGTTTCCCATAGCCAGTCGGAAGACCCGCTGCCAACAGCTGACGCGGGCTGGGCATTAAAAAAAGACCAAGAAGTCTGTTCATTTCACCACTAAAGTGCGCCAATTTTTGCGTGAAGTCTTCCTTCAAGGAGAGGACAGCGGGAATAAAGCAGCGGCTGAGGATGTAGCAGCACGAATGAGGTCCGTGCGAACCGCTGACGGAAAGAAGGTATTTACCAAAGACGAGTGGCTGACATCTACCCAGATTTCCGGATATTTCAGAAGAATGGCCGCATTAAACAGGAGTGGGGGGCTTCATAGAAGAGAGGAGGTGAGGCCAGCGCCAACAGAACCGGTACCCGAGGGAGGAGAAAGCGAAGATGAGGAGAAAGACCCATATATGGCTGAAGCTCCCCTTATCAGAACACGGCTTCAAATCAGGAGGGAGCTAGAACTGTAACTTTACTTTCGATAAGAGTGTTTGTTTGTGTGTCTGTTTGATTATATCTATTTTGACTTTTGTCTTTGATAGTTCTTACAAAGGACAGTTCTTTAGGGCACAACTCACAAAAACACGCAGTTGATTTTGTTTTCAGTATAGCGAGGTCTTTCTAATAAAGTTTTCTGCATCAAGATGCAATGTGGCGTGCAAGTTTCAAGCAAATGTATTATTCCTTTATTAGATGAACAAAAGTCAGTTTCATTATACGATCATTCTAACGTTCAAATACAGACAATGTAAGCATTTTGATAGAGTTCTGTGACTCTCGTGTTTGACTTAGTGATCAGAAAGCTCCGTCACGAAGTTCACTTATACAATATAATAGAGGTCATCATTAAGTCGTCGATTGTCATTTTCATGGCTTAAGACAAACAAAAGCTTTTGAAATGGTTCAATTTTATTAAATTTTATAGTGTGTAACCATTTTGCTGCATTTTCTACCTGTTGCTATGTCTTTATTACCGAATTAGCGAGTTATGATGAAAAAAAAATGACGTGGGTATCCTGTGGTGGGCCAAGTTTTTTTTATTTTAGCGATTAGATAGAAATGATTCTATTTCATCAAAGTGTATGGTGTGCAACCATTTTGTGGCATTATTTGTCTGTTGCTGTGCCATAATTACCGAAGTAGCGCGTTATAATGGAAAAAATTGACGCGGGTACCCTGTGGTGGACGACGTGTTTGCAGTCTTCCTGTGGAATAATTAAATGAGTGCCCAAAGATTTTTTTGCAGATAATGTTAGTATGAAGTCCCGCCTTCTAGACGGTATGCTCCGTTTTTGGAAGCATGCTCCGGCATTGGAGATGTTTTGGCCTAAACTTTGGATATTTCAACAATTTTCACTATTGGGTGAGAGGGCGGGTCTTGGCTGAGATGACTTGTGTCATAGGAACTTGTCGTAGAAGAACGAAACAGTTACAATAAATTGTCTTTGGGTAGGATAACATTCACTGAAAATATGAAAAGATTTGGTGGAATTCTTTTAGCAGTAGAGCTTTATACTTTTGACCAATTTTTTGGTGTTTTTTGGTCATTTTTAAAAAAAAAAACAAGGGGGGTGGTCAACTCTCCCCGGTTTCGACCAACTTTCTTTACACTTAGAGTGAAGTAGTTTTGGGTGGACCCCTTCAAACTGGCCAAGTTTCATCGAAATCGGTTAGATGGCTTGTGCCACCCCTGCCTGGTCCTTTCGTGGATGCACTCTTAAAAGATGCTTATCCAAAAACATAAACTTGAGCTTACAACACGCATTCAAGCTTGCATCGATCCCTATCGATCACGCCATCGTATATATCATTTACGATATCTTGTGCAGCGTGCAAAGAACGTCGTGTCCGATAGCCCGGGGCTAGTGGATTTTGCCATCGGGCTAGTGATTTTTCCCGACGGGCAAGTGCTGTTTTTTGGGGAAATTCAAATTACAGAAGGATGGTAATCAGTCTTGCTAATCAAAAACGGTTTGGGGGCTAGTTGAAAAATGACTTGTGGGCTAGTACATACTAGCTACAGCTTGCCCGAATGGCAGGCTGTAAAACTGACTTTCTTTGCACCCTGCTTGTGACAGAATGGTCTAGGTCCTGCTGATAGCATCTGAAACGTCTTCTCAAATCATCAGTAGTTCCTACGTTTCTGGTAGGGGCAAAGTGGGAAAAGCCAAGATTCCCCTTGCACGCCCAACCTTGGTGAAAGTATGGCGAGATAATAGCCGTCGTGTACGAACACACGAAAAGAAAATAGAAGCCCCTGTTCGCCCATTGGGCAAAATAATACAAAGCATTTTTTTGTGCCCAATCGGGAGTCAGCACTCGCTGGATTGTTTGAAAATGGTCTGGTGAGAGTCGGTAACCGGGGCTCAAACGTTTTTTCCCGAACCACCTGACTGCCCCTAGGCCTCCAAGGATGGAGACAGGGCCGCTTGTGGCTTGAGTGTGTTTATTAAAATTCTTACATCGGGGAGACTGTGAGTGGCTGACGCCATGTCCTTTGGGTCGCCACTCTGGCGCAATGAGATCATTTCCATGGTGACCTGAGCCTGCTCTTCCTTTGCCGTTTTCTTCAAAAGTTTGCCTGCTTGTTTTTCCTAGAATGAAGGAAAGACCGTTCAATCCACCCTATGAGAGTGTTCCACCTTCCCTCTTATACCACCCCATAAAAAAGACATCAAAAAAAATTTTATCACAGGGCATTAAACATAATAACTTTTTGGTGATTTTGGGAAGCATGGAAACAATTTCAGTGTCTTAATATCGTCTTAGGACGCTTTCCATTTGTGAGAACTGACCGGCCAGACCCTTCCAGTCATAAAGAGAATTTCACTTTTAATCAAAACTATCAGTCAGATCCCAAATAGCAGGCACAAAGGAAATGGTGTTTCAACAAAAGCTCTTGCAAAAAAGCATTTTTCATTGTCAAAATGACTGGTGCCGGCTATGGTCTGGACGGCCAATTCTGACTTTTGGAAAGCGCCTTTAATAAAGTCTTTGATTACGTACAACTGAACCGTCAACCAGACACAGAGAACAAACAGCAAACGGTTTGGGGACTTTGAAGAAAAGAAAAAATGTCAGGGTCAAACAAAAATGGATAAAATATTGAATCAGTACAGTTTGTTAACAAGCGTACCTTATCTCTGGTCTCTTCCTGATCTTTCAGAACCTCTTTGTCAGCATATGATGTCTCGGAGGCTTTAAGTTCGTTGATCTAGACGTCCAGCAAGCAACGTTATCAGTTTCGGAACAAATAAAGACCAATACATCTGTGTGACTTTGCTTAAAGGTCCGCGCAAAGTTTTCGCTTGAACACGGGCATCAAGCCAGGGAAGCCAAAAATATCCAGAGAGCTTATCACCGAGCTTAGGCCCAGACCTTATAGGGGGTGGGTGGCTGGCTTTTTTGTGTCAAAAGTAGGGGGGTAGGTAGAGGAGATTTTGTCACTTTGATAGATTATCAAGCCAGAATGCAGTTCAAAGTCAAGGCAATTTCCCTGTAGGCTAACACAGCCAAATAAATGCTGTGACTCATAATCGTAACATTACTAGCAGAGCTTGCGGGGGAGTGAGTTTCATGGGTGTTGAGGATGCGTTCTTGCTCCTTGGACTTGGCTGCCTATAGAGTGAGTGCAAGCACATTGGATAAAATCCAGTGCCGGATATATGATAATGTTAAAACATCTTCGCTTATGCACTGAGTAATCTCGGGAGAAAGTATTTTCTCTTTGTAACAAAAGTTATAAAAAAATTCTTATAATTTCAATAACAAGTATAAAATTGGCATCTTCGCAGATGTAAATCTGCAATAGTCCCAATACACGATAGAACTGGAAGCTATATAGTCATAAAAAATGGTGGTCTACACTTTCAGAACACGAGAGCACGCTGCAATGAGATTTTTTTGACTTTCTTACCTTTTTTCTTCTGCGGCGAAGCCAAGCCAAGAGGTCACCACACGGAACGTATTCTATAACCAGGAACATTTTCTCTTCAAGCGTGCAGCATCCAACCATAGATACAACATTCTTATGTGAGCCTAACATCTTCATCTGTTCAATCTCAAACGTGAACTCTTCTTTCTGTGTTTCAGATGGATCATCTAAAGAAAACTGAATAAAATGATTCTGTCTTCGTCCAGTCGTGTGGTGACAGCATTGAATTGTTAATTCAGTGCTAGATTTTTCATTTGCATGACAAATATTCAACCCTTTTTATTGCACGCATTCTCACCTCATATGCACAAAAGGACAGGTACATTTTACACTTGTAATTGCATTTCAATTTAATATTCACGTTACCACCCCATCTTTTTTAATAACAGCCTCAGACGGGATTACTGGAACAGTCAGGGTGGGTGCGGCGAGCTACCTTGAACCCCTACCCTATTTACCCTATCTCAGGCCTTAACCGTTGTTTTAGAAGGAGAACAATGATGAAAAGAATAAACGACAACAACAGCAATACCAACTGCAACCAAAATAATAATAATATAAAAGAATTGATTTTGATTTTTGTCTTTCTTTTTTCCTCAGTAAGGTCTAAACGAGAACTTAAAAAATCCTTTTTGCTGCATATAAAAAACTGAAAATATATTATAATTTCAAGCGCTTATGGCTTTGTCTCTCCCTTATGTAGATTAAAATATTTCTTACCATGTAAAACTTTGACAGCCACCACCTGTGGTGCCTTCGGCTTCCTGGATGATACAGGCCATTTTGAAGTCTCAGTGACCAACGCCTCCATTTCATCAGTCTTAATAAAGGTTGCTTTGTAAACAACACCAAAAGCTCCTCTCCCCAGCTCTTCCTCGAATTCTATTTGCTCAGGCAATATTTCCCACTTATCAGAGAGCTGTGAATCAGGTGATCTGGAGACATATATATATATATAATAAAAGCTGGATTTTCGTCTACGAATCATTAAGACAGATTAAGGTTGCTATTGATCAAAAAGCGTTCGAGAGCAATCGTAATGATAGCCTGGCTGTTATCAGTTCAAACACCACATTTTCAACCTAAAAAACACACCATCGCTAAAACTCTCGCCTTGTACAAGATTGTTTGAACAGATAAGAACGTGTAGAGTGGAGGGGGACAGGGGGGCGGGAGCCCGGGAGAGCAGGGGGCGGGAGGGGTACGGGAGACGGGAGAAGAAAGGGCGGGAAGCGGGATCTCTATGATGGCGGGAAGCGGGAGAGAAATTCCAAAAGGCAAGCTTTCGTTAATTGTTACTGCTCATCATCCAGTCAAAGAAACGAACTCAACAACGTTTCTTGACTTCCATTTAACGTTCTCCGAGGCCCTAAATCAAAATTTTAATGCGAGAAAAGTCAAAAAACGTAATTTCGCACTCGGGATTGAAAAAAGAGCATTACTTCTGGTGAAATTGGAAACCTTTCCAAGTCGGTTATGAATGAGGTGGCGTGACACATGTACACGTGTGTCGACTGTGTAAGTCGTGTCAGTGTCTCGTCTGTTTGACCTATCTCGCAGGTAATGCACCTATCAATGTAAAGCCGAAGGGGGGGCAGGGCATAGGGTGGGGATTTGATTGTCTTTGTTGTCCCTGGGGTAGGGCATTTGACTGATCTTGTTCTCCCGGGGGAGGGGATATTTGAATCTTTCTTAGCCCGACGTGGAGATATTTGACTGCCGACTCGCACGAAAAAGACTGAGACCGAACATGTGTTTCCCGCTTCTACGCTTCACGCACGCGTCATACGGTTTGAAAAGATTAGGAAGTCATGGAGGCCAATGAGAGCAAGCGAAGGCTGAGTGGACTTCACTGTTTTGTCTTCAAATTTCGTTTGTTTTAGGGTGTTTTTGATCAATTGAACCAGTTAATATAATGTGGTATCAAAGTAAACGGAAGTAAAGAGAAACCGAGCCGATTTTTGCAAGTACAGTTGATTAGTGTATGGCTCGTTCGCTACAATCACTGATAAATCTGACTTTGTTTGTACCCTTTACTAAGAACGGTATATCTAGACTTACAAAATGTGGACTTTCTCCTAAAGGTTTATGTATTCTACCCAGTGTGACACGGATTATGGTTAAAACGTATAATTGCAGCTGTAACAGGAACATGTATCTTTGGTGATGCAGCAACGTTTATAAAAGATTGCAGAGTTTTATTTGGAGATATTTTTATTGTGCCTTTCTTAGGTTCTGCCTTGGGACTGACAGCAATGTGCAGCCTGGGGTGGGGAAATTTGGTTGCATTTGACTGGAATGATTTGCCCGTGGGCAGGGAATTTGATTGCAAATTTTTGAAAAAAGTCAAATCCCCACCCTATGCCCTGCCTCCCCCACCGGCATTACATTGATAGGTGCATAAAATGTCGTCAAAGACCATTTTAATCGGTCTAAGTATTTTTCGGTGTGGTGTGGAAAAATCCGTACATGGAAGGCCTTCCTGGGAACTCGCTCCGTACGATTGTAGTTTGCAAAACACTAAAGATTTTACGGCGTGGTGCAAACTTGTGTCCAGGGAATGCAAATTCACTGATCGCGCTGGAGAGTGCGGAGTGGTTAGATATACAACGCAATTTTTTGTTTTGGATAAGGCCAAAGCACTGCCTATTAGAATAGGAAGTCAAACAGCGTGGGACGCTGTCCGGTTGGACTTCATAGATAACAAAGAAAAAGTAATAACAAAAGATTACGAACTGCACGGTAGGTTTCATTTCCTAGCACTTTGCACTGTAATTTTAGAAACGTTCCCTCGACTCGGAGGAAGAGGAGGCAGACTTTACTGCTCTAACTAACATTTGGAGTAGGAGGAGATCAGTGCGACCTCATCGGCGCATGGAAGACTTTTTCTAGTTTGTTTACTGTAGCAAAATACGGGCACTTTTTACACATATTGCAACCTGTTCCCTGTCCTGTTATTTAACTTGTAATAAACCAATAAGAGCAGAGCATTCGTTTCTTCAAATGCTTCTTGTTAAAATCGGACATAGATGCATCATTCCGATGTAAAACTCTATGTATAACCGTTAAACCTCGCCGCCGATGTTTGATGAAAGATACAACTTCTCGAGCAAATATGAATAGGTTTGAGATTTGATAACCAGATAACAATAATACTCCACCAGCACTAAACTGAACGCTTTAAAATGCAAACGGTTAACGAACATGCAATTATTGTCTCGTTGAAGCCAGTTTTTATAGCTTACGACTTCTTACGAAAAATAACGAAAACCGTAACCGCGGTGGATATGCAATTAGTACAATTAGACGCTGGGAACTAGACAGGAGTACTGAACTCTACCGTAACGTTTGGCCCTTCGACTTCATTTTGGCATGATCCCCGTAATTTCGGGATTCCTAAATGCATGTGAATGCATCTTTGATGACTGCAATAGCTATTACGCTGCACAGTGGACTGAGACTATTGTCGCTGTAGTGGGATGTCAGAAGCGGTGGTCAAACCTAGATAACCAGATTAGTGAACACTCAGTTTAACTAAGAAAACTGACTTGTAACAATTTTCATCTTTGGCAAATTACCCTACAGCTTTAACACTAAACCCGGGCTTCTGATCTTTATAATTTACATGATGACGGGAAAAATACAATAAAGGGCGGGAGTCGGGAGACAAAGGAACAAAAAGGTACGGGAGGCGGGAGAACAGGGTACGGGAAGCGGGAGGTTGTCACCCCCCTGTCCCCCCCCACTGTAGAGAAACCGCGGAACAAAGCATTGAACGGGAGCATCGGAAATGCCTTTAAATTCCGTACCGTAAAATTCCGAAAATAAGCCCCGGGGCTTATATTTTTCAAAGGCCTTTTTTGAGGGGATTATTTTTGAAGGGGATTATATTCGGAGGGGCTTTTCTATGGAGGGAAATTTGCGTTTCAAAATCGATGGGGCTAGCCTTATAGTTGGAAGGAAATTTACCGTTTTTGGTTTGTTTTATTTTGTATTTGAGGGCAATTTCCAAGTAGAAGCCCCCGGGGGGCTTGTATTTGGGGGAGCGATTTAACGAAGGGTTCTTTGCGTTACGAGTTTGGGGGGCTTATACATGGAGGGGCTTATTTTCGGAATTTTACGGTATGCGTTTCTGAAAACTTTTAAAAAGCCACCACCCCCACCCTTTCCGTTTCCGGTAATTTACCCAGACTACCAAAAGTTGAGTTTCTTTCCGCTGAATGTTCGTGCTCAGGCTCTTGGGCGTTGAGTTTAGGTTGCATTCTCCCAACGTCGAACACAATAATATTTTTTTATCAATCACGTCAATTTTTAATTTAATTTTCAAGCTATTATTCTTTAGCATCTCTTCTTTTTTACTGTCTTTCAGGTTTTCAACCCCTCGGCTGAAACAAAATGCTTGATTATTTTAAATAGAAATTGCAACATGAGTGACTTAATTCCTTGTAAGTGTCATCAAGACAGGTGCACGACGCTGTGTAAGTGGCCACGTGATGCAATCTAATCAATAACATCGCGCTAAAATCAAATGCTCCGAACGTAACATTTGGCCTATGTGTTTTTGATACACTTCAACTGAAGAAACAATTACGCTGAACATTGTGATTAGCAAATTAAAAGCTACACAAACCTTTCAATAGTCTTTAACTTCTTTCTTCTGTAGCACCAGACGAAAAAAGCGACGGAGAGCAGCAAAAAAGTGGAGGTGACACCAACTGAGATGTAGATGACTTTAGAAATGGCGCTTGTCGGATTTTCTGAAACTAAAAGTATTGCATTATAATAAATTGGCATAGGAAACGTGCGACTGTGCGCTGAATAAAACAGGTGCATTAACTTACGAAAAATTACAAAAAAAGCCTTCAAATCTACCTCGCCGCTAAACATGGCTTTTCTTCCTTCACGGATCTTCGTTAAAGAATCTAAGTTCTCCCTGTTTCTGAGAAACATTGCAAGGCGGGCATAAATTGACAATTTTTAAACTTTTTTGTGTCCATCATACTTACTACTATTACACAGATGTCCTTCACAACAGTGTAAATGTTGATCTTCTAATTGTTGGCATTGATCAGCGGATATACAGCCTTGAATGGTGATTTGTTCGCCGCTTGCCGTTGTATTGTCGTATTTGAAACAAAGGTTTTCTGGAAATGTACAGTTGACTGTAATGGGAACAGATGAATTGCTGCTAGGGTACTCATAACAAACAGTACCTAAAGATAAATGCAGAATTAAAGATAGAAGTTTTTAAAACCATCGAGTATCTCGCTGACAAGGTCACTTACCTCAAAGTCGGGGGCAAAAGGGTGAAAATATAGCTTATAGACAAGCCTAGAAGCGGAGCTTTTATCATATTGGAAGCTATTCACTAAAATTTGATAGACTTTAACCCGAAAATACTAAACGAAAGTCTAAAAGGAAAAACATAATGCACATTTCGCCCAATTTTAGAGAAAAAGCAATAATTTTTATACAACGTCTTATATGGTTGTTGCCGTATGAATAAATAATTAGCTAAGTAGAATAGTGTTGTCCAGGGCTCTCATATTGAGCATAGCCTATTTGTGCACTAACATGCTAAGTGTAACCTTCTAGATGTGGATGATACAAAACGTACTTGTTACTGACGCTGGCATTTCACAAATATAGTTCTTTTGGTCGTTACAGTCCGGCCCCTCTTCTATCGTTCCAGTATCTGTCTTCATTTGCCAACACTTTGAATCACCTTTTCGGCCAATCCACACTTGCTGTATAAAGGAATTACAAGGGATAGAGTAAAAAACATTAAATGGAACAATTTACTAAAAAAGCCACAATTAATCAAGGTGGTTGAAAACAGTTTGATGATGGGAGTGTCATTCAAGATTCGTTATGGTATAAGGCTCATATTTGGTATGGACAGATAACATTTATACTAAGGACGACAAATTTGTCATTTTAGACGTAAGATTTTGATCGTTACCATGGCGAGAAGGATGTTTTGCAAAAAGCCTATTTTTTTCCATTTTTTAGGTTTCCGCAAATGAAACCACTAGATTTCCTCATGAATGTTACAATTAGGAAATCCTAATTTTTTAACTCAACTTGACCAAATTGTAACAATTACTAGTTTTTGAAATTAAATAGCTATCATGTGAAAATTTCTTTTGTTTAAAGTGCGTTATTAAAAGAAAATCTGCAAAATTTCGTCAAATTCTCTGTCGTCACGCCATTGAACACTATATGAGCAATCATTTTACATTTCTGTTTCGTGATTTACGCTTGATATGTTGTTAATCATTTTAAACATAGCATCTTCCACAAATTTTGTATTATTGGTCAATTTTTTATGCTTGGATTTCTTTTAGCAAAGTATAATAGTCATTAGTATATACACACTCAGTGATCTTGGTGATTTAAGCAATCTGATTGGTTCGCTATCTCGGACTATTCAACAATATTCACCTCCTAGCGAGTGGATAATGTGTGAGCTCGGTGTTTTTCCCGTTTTTTTTAGAGAACGATCTTTTAAAAGTCGACAAAATCCTAGGGCTGACTTTTTTTAAGGCAAGAAAAGACTTGGAAGGATTCAATACGGCGTTTTTCAATTTACTGTAGCAGGAGTTTTGTGCTCGATGGATTGTTTACAACTCCCGTGTATTCGCGTAGAAGAAGCCGTTTCGTGAACTCAGCGTTTTCTAAGAAGAAAATTTTGGCTCAAAAATCGAAGTTTATTTATGACAAACAAATTTAAAAGGAAATGTTTGCAGAAATTCTACATTTCAAGTAAACAGGAAAAAGAATGATACAGGAAGACGACCTCTTACCTCGAGCAACCGAGCCGCCATTTTTGTCAGCACTTCATGCGAAGAACGACACAACATGCCCTTTTGGCTATAAACTTGGCGAGTCAACAGAAAACAACACAGCTCTACTTTTTTTCTCAGGTAAGGGAGCGGTCATTAACTATTGGGGGGGGAGGGCTGGTAAATTTTGGGGGAGGGCTGTGTTTTTTTGGGCGCCCATTTGGGGTGGGCCATAATTTTATGGGCCCACGTTTTATAGGGGAGGGTTACAATTTCTGGGCGCCTTTTATTAAAACTTTGGGCGATGTGCACAAATGGGTTTTGTGCTATTGACTTTAGCATGGCAAGAGAATCTTCATAGAATCGTATACTCAAAGCTTAATTGCACAGTGAAAAAGCTCACACCCAGAACAATTTTATAAACATCACTTGATTTATTGTTATTTTAAAAAATCAACAAATTCTGGTATGCTATAAAACTCAATCAGTCTTAAACAGTAACGGTATCAAACATATTGCCAATGTCCAGTGAAGATGTATAAACGACTACTCAATGGGCTCATAGTAAGGAGTGCATTCCATTGTGTTCCAGTAGGGGCCAATGTCTTCTGCACTGCTGCTGTCGTATGCTTCCACTGCAGTAAAGACACTTCCCGAATCCTCCTCCTGACATTGTTCAGTTACATCACTATCATCGGCCCCGTCATCGCTATTTCTTTCACTGTCTTTGCTGTCATTGATGCTACTTAGGTTGTCTTGGTCGCTACTTTCATCGCCGTCACTTGCATTAGAGCTACTCTCACTTTCAGAAAACCCTAACATTGTTCTAAGCTCTGATTTCGCGCTGTCATTCAAAAGTTCGCACTGATCAAACATCAAAGCTACCGCCCATTTCTGCTCTCTTTTTCCAAGTTCTTTTACGATGTCTCCGCACAAATCCTCCTTCTCACAAATCTTACCCTCCGACCAATCAGGCGCAATCTTCTTGAGGACCTCAGTCGTCCTGGCCACATGCCTCGCCTTTTTCCGCTTCACACTCTTTTGGGTATTTTGTTTCCTTTTTCTTGATTTTCTTTTCATTGCAGAAAAGGGTGCTTAAATGCTGCTTTGCAGGTTTCTTGGAGCTGACTTAGACTAGTTATTAAAGTGTGTAATTCATTTCTAAAACCCTGCAATTCGGTTAGCTTTTGCTCATCAAAGTCATGTGCAGTTTTATGTCCTGTTAAAACTCTACCTGATGAATGGATTGTTCTTTCTAAGTGTTCCTTTAGGTTTTTTTGTAAAGTTTCGATTGAAGTTTCGACCCTCTTTATGTGTAACATGTTCTGCGTTATGGTCGTTGAATCATGCGGCTTGAGAATGTGGTTTTCTCTTAGAAGAAATCCAGCCTTAGAAGGATCCTTTACAGATTTCAGTTGCGCTAATTGCTCTCTAATTTTTTTTACCGCCTTCTCATTGTCGTATTCCCTTCTCGCTTCTTCATGGAATGCTTTCTTAAAGGCCTTCTTGTTTCCACCAAAATAGCCAACCCGTTCCAAATAAAATGATTCGTACACTTCGTTATAAAATCTGCTCATGTCATTCCGGGGATTTGGGATCCAGCCAAGGTTTTTATCCTTGTTCACGCTTGCTTGATTTTGTCTATTCGCCGCATTTTTGTGACTTGTCATTTCCGCTGTGGATTCCTGAGACTCTTTGTATACTTCTAAAAGCCTTCTTGCTTCAAATACAGTCATTCCTGAGGAAAAAAAAAAAAAAAAAAAAACACATCAAAAGAGCAACATTTTATTAGAGGAACTTTGCCATGGTTAGCACGTATGCTGTCAGAGATTTCGTGTTGTCTTTGGATCTCTGCACCTTCGCGAAATCTCAGTTACTCTTGATATGAATCATGGATCAATGTCTTTCTCAAACAATGCCCATTTCACCTAACAATATTCGTCAAAATATTTCGCCTTCGAGTAAAATTTCCGCTCCTTTGATATCCTGATCGACCATGATCGCTACATAGTGCGAAAAAATCAGTAGAAATTAAGGACAAACATTACAACTGTAAACACAGTGAACGTGTGAGTACTACATGTATGTACTGATATCTGCTGCTTTTTTCATTTCGTACCTCCCATTTTGGTCTAAATATAAAAACCAACTATATTTAATAAAAATAAAATAAAACATTAAAACCCTGGAACTATCTTTAATTACATGTATTAATATGGCCGAACTTGCAGGACCTGGAGGGGTCGAGCAAGAGCTGCGGACTTCTCTTGAATAGAGACAGCTCTCGCTGATCCGTTATTAAATACGCACAATTTGTTCACTCTTGAAATTGACTACAAAACAGGAATTCAATGAGTAACAACGGGGCTGTTTAATGTACGGGTTCCCTTTACTTGGTGAACCATTGGGTTTTGTAAATAGTGTATTAAAATAGTAACACTTTTTTCTTATTCCAGTGAAATAATTGTCTCAAAATAACGTTCGTAAAAAAATCAAAAGTTTTTCACAGGGGAGGGTTACAATTTTTTGGGCTCACATTTTAAAGGGGGCCAAGATTTTTGGGCTGTTAACCTGAGAGGGGCTAACATTTTTGGGCTCTAACCTTTGAAATAATACCGACCCTCCCCCCCCAATAGTTAATGACCGCTCCCTAAGGAAACAGTTCAAACTTTTAGCGATTCCATTGAAGCCATTACGCTGTTGTTTGCGAAATGAGTAAACTTGTGAATTGCCATGTTTGAAAATTCTGCAAAGATCTATTTTTAAACTTACGCGTGATTTGATCTGTCAATCAAATCCTACTTTTGAATGGTTTCCTTTCTGATTTTGTTGAGATCACTTCGTGTGTATATACTAAAACAATTATTCTTCTCAATCTCGGTGAATAGTGGCTTTGGGAATATTTACCTCGCCGCTTTCGCGGCTCGGTAAATATTTTGCCACTATTCACCTCGATTTCAAAGAATAATTGTTAATTGCCTTGGTTATTCGCTAGTTTTTCGTATCAATCCTAGCCTATATACTTAGTTATTTCCTTTGTTCCCTCATGATAGCTGGCTCGGCCAAGACTTTACTAAGACTGATATTAAAGCTGATGTTGTTTCGGGAGTTGCCCGCCTACTAACTAACACCACTACCAATATGACAGTATGCAGTTACTTAATTATGATCACTTCAATCAAACTAAGTTGATAAGTTTTAAAAGTACGTTGAGTTTGGTCTTCCAGGTGAACGTAGTCCTGAATAGGACTAGACTGTTGTTGTTGACAGTGACTGACGTTTCGACAACCTGTGCGGTAGTCATCTTCAGTGTCAAAGTGAGTTATACCACGTCCTTTGATGGTATTAAACTCTGGTTATTGACGTGATTGGTCAATTACGTCGCGATGTTATTGGTCGTCTGTCAGTTGAGCCGTGATGTTATTGGCTTTGAAGACTCGTAATGTAATTGGTGTGTTTGGATCCGTCTATTGTCACAGTCGTTTGTTGTTCGTGAAATTGTCAGTTGCTAAATCCGTCGTTCTCTCGTTGTTAGTTTTGCTTGATTTAGCCTTAAGCGCGCTATCTCAACTGCGTAAAAACATCTCAAGTTAAATGCGCATGCCCATTTCCTGTCCTTATACTTTTCCTACAGATGTGGTGGGAAGAGTAAATATATTAACAATCAGTTACATTCATCTCGGGTGATCATGTCCTTAATTCTTGTGCCTACTATGTTTCATAACGCATTAATATTACATAGACAATTTCATGCTGATCATGTGATCATGAGGCTCAAAGAGTTAATGATTTGATACTTACTTCTATGTTCGTTTTCTTCAAACCGGTGAGCTCCATGAAGTGAATCAAAAATCGTTTTTGATTATCATCATCAACCTTCACTAAATCACCTCCGGAAGCAGTACACCCTTGTTGTGCACCTTGCCAGGTATCTTTGTTATTTTCCTTGTAGCAAGATACTCCATTGAGAAACCAATCAGCAGAACAGGCCAATGGACCTCATAAGTGAAACATTTACAGAGCAAACAGTTTGAATCCAATAAGAATCATGGCCTTGCTGTAAACTTAAGGGCTTTCTTTTTAGAGAGACTCGGACGAGAATCAGAGAACATAAACTTCTTATCAAGGAATAAAATATTTTAAATTTCCCGGTGATCAATTTGTTATATTTAGTATTAAACTTAATACAATACAAGAAAACTTTAGATCTTTAAGATGTTTCTGGGTGTGGCAATTCTAAAATGGGCGTGGCTGGTCATATGACAAAAGGTGCGGTGTAACCACCAAAAAAGGCTCCTTTTACCCAGGCACAGTTACAGTTAAGGAAAAATTGAGTGCGAAGCAAAACGAGAAAACAAATTGGAAAGCCAAATATCAGAGAGGAGTTTAGCCTGCCTAAAATTTAAAGGCGTAAAGGCTATGTGGAGCCATTTCTTACTTTACATGAGACAGCTCCTTAAAGGATAAAGTTTTACCGATCGAAGCTTCCCCATCATTTTCAGTGTCGAGTTCCCCACAGCAAAAACTCACCTTTCGGTCTCTTGCAGATGAAATGTTCATTTTCCTTGCAACATTCGGTGAGGTTCCAACCATTTTTCAAGATTTCGACGCATTTATTTTCATTGACAATTCTCGACATATTGCTGAGCCACTGGACGGAAGCAGAAATTTTAAACGATTCTCCACTGTTCCATACATATCCACCCGTTTGATGCCGATACACCAACCCAATCCAAACAGAAGTGGGGTTTGCGTCCTTGAAAGTCAAGTTATGGACAAAGTCGATTTCTTTTTCATTCGATATGCTTACCAGGTCTCCTCCAAGCCCAAAACACCCGCTTAAAGCTGTTGACCAAGCAAAGCTTCGCGGATAACCGAGCCTATCCATAACCTTGTAGCAAAAGCCTTCAAATTCGCTCCACGTTTCTGGGCATTCCAAACCTAAAAGGATCAAATTGGGCAACTGTGACTCTTGTGACTTAACGATAATGAACAATGCAATTATTAGATGAGATTGGTCAAGATCGTTGAAAGTGTTATAAGCTGTGGCTGAAGGCAGACGGTGATTACACTTGCCTTGCCGTGGGCAGCCGTGCACAGTAATTTTCAAGGAGTTATAATAATTCCTCTAGTGGGGCTAATTTAACTCCTTACAGTGGAGTTATTTTTGGGGAGGTTATTTTAACTCCAGAAAGGAGTTTAAAAAACTCTTTTTCAGGGGTAAAAGTGACCCCAGATCAGTTGAGGAGTTAAAATAACCCCAAAAAGGAGTTATCCTGTACATAAAATTTTTACTGCACTTTCAGAGTTAAATTAACTGCAAAAAGAGTAAAAACAACCCATGTAAGGAGTAAAAGTAACCCCATTTCGGAGTTATTTTAACTCCAGACTGAGAGTAAAAGAAGTCTTTTTCAGGAGTAAAAATGACCCCAAATTCGCAGTTAAATTAGGAGCAAAAATAACCCCAAAAAGGGGTTATCCTGTACCTAAAATTTTTACTCCATTTTTGGAGTTATAATAGCTCCCTAAAAATTACGGTGTGGGTGTCTAGATGCGCTCCGCATTCTTTCCCTCTCCTAAGCTCTTAAAAAAATTACATCGACCATACTGAGCTCTCGAAGACCACTAAGCTAGCAAGAAATGTCTCACTTATTGTGAAATTAAAAATTGATATAAATCAAATGGACATACTTACCAGAATAACGCCTTGTTACCGTCAAGAGGAGTGACACGAACAGTGCGAGTGTTATCATTATAGCATCAGATCTGAGGAGAAGTTAAAATCATAGAGAAACATTTCTTTGATCAATGATTAATAAATCGTTACCCCCAGGAGCAATTTCTTTGGGTTTACTAGCGAAATAACTTTAGCGGAATGCTGGGAGAACACGATCTGGTATTCTCCCAACATTATTTCGCCGGATAACCAATAGAATAAGGAAGTCTATTGCTTTTATATACAGACTATTGTTTTTTATAATATGGTTTATGATGTCATAATCGTCAAGTTGGGTCTTCTCTGTACATTTATGATTTTAGGCGCGAATAATAGCCCCAAAACAACGATTTTAATTTATAGATGGTGGCATCTATGCCAAATAAATTCTTTTGTTCCGAACTTTTTTCCATCAGACAAGAAACAGCATTATTCAGAGGGTATATTTTGTACTTTGGCAGCAAATGCAAATGTACATTATTTAAAAGATTACGTTCATGATTTGTATTAACCCTCGGACGTGCACGCCAATTCATACCCCCACCGTGCATGGCACAGGTGGGCGGGGTGGATGAACACCTCCCAAGAGTTTTTGATATGTTGCAGTATTTCAAAACAATTTTGCCTTCAGTGGAAAGCCTTTGATCCTCTTAACAAGATGAGGTATATTTTATGGGTGGTAGCGCTGCTGGAGGCCTGCGAAGTCAGCAACAATGGTCGCCATCTTGGATTTTACCAGAAATAGAAATCAGGTTAAAACCGCGATAAATGGTAGTTTCTTGTGCTTGACTTGTAAAATAGGACACAAATAAGCACTTTGCATGATTTTAGCCACAAGATTACTTTTATTGTTGAAAGAAGTTGAAGAAACATGTATTTTCACTCAAAACTGGCTTGAGCACCTGCTACTTATGGCGTCATATCTCGTAACCATAGAAACTGACCATCAGTGAACTTGTCTCAAAATGCGCGCGAGGGATGTGAACGAACAGCTAATGAAAACGTCAGGTGCTGATGTTCTATCCCCTAGGGAAAAAATTTAAAAAAAATCCCTCCCCCTCTTGTACGTTCGAGGGCTAATACAGAAGTAGAAGATTAAACATCAAACTGTTCGCGGCTGTGGTTTATTTTTTTCGTCGATGTAATTCGTGTATGACTGCAAAAATGTTATAGACTGAAAGGACCAAGAAGACGAAAATTCTATGCACATCAGCTTGAAATTCCTCTCTTCAAAACTGGAACAAATGGCAGAAGCCTTTAACCTGTCATGGAAGAGGTCGTATTCAATTCTCATGCGAATACTGCTGACATGCACGAGAAAAGATGACAAAAGGAAAAAATGGAAAGAAAGATAGAACAAAAATCGTCACAGCCCTGAAGTTCATTCACTCGGACAAATTAAAAGCTTGTATCAAATGCGAGGGTTCGAACACCCCCACCCCAAACCCCGCCGCTGCATATCACTGGTTCTGACAATCCAAGTCCCTAACCGGATATGCGACTTTCTTAATTGTTTGTTTTCTGTCGATAGAAGTTATCGCCTAGTTACCCTATAAAAGTCTATAACTTATATAGTGGGTGCTTCCACACATTTTCCTGTCTTACTATTATAATATTGAGGACCGTTTAAGATTCGACGACGGCGACAGTAACGAGAACGTCAAAAAACAATAGGGTTAACATTGAGCAAAACAACAACTTTGCACGTATAGCCCCCTTTTTGTACATTATTTTCTTTACCATCACTCTATGTCTACGATTTGAAAATGCTTGGCTAATATCATGTTTTATGCAGTAACTAATTTTCTTACCCTTTCTGAACTTGCATGTTCTTTGAAATTCAACCCCATAATAGTTCCCTACATTCGACAGAGTGAGTTCAAATAATCGCGATAAAGATTGAAAGAACGTAAATTCACTTTTTAAGCGACGTATTCGCCACCGTCGCGATCATCGGATCTTAGGGTTCCTTTTGACATCTGGTATTTACAATGTGTGGCATAACATTAGTGCCAATTAACAATTGTTAAAAATATTTTTCGTCCAAAAAAAAACGAAAGCTTGACTACTGACTAGATAGAAAATACTACGTTGCCCAGTTTTCAGATTTAAGGTGTTTCGATACAGGAACTTAAAGTGTGGTGTTTAGCAAATAACTTCCTAAAGAACTGAAAAATTCTGTATGTTTAAATTCAAATAAAACGTTAATATATTTCAAACCTTACATTTTCAATGGCCGTGATAAATTATTTAAAACGAAAAGTTCTAAATAACTCAAATTAATGTTAAGTAGAGTCAAAAGACTGCTTAATATCATATTTCGATTCCTGGAAGTTTTGGTGCATGTCGTTTCTTGCGATCCTGAAAACTAACCTGTTTTCTCACCGCTTGTCTAAGTGCAACTTAATTCTAAATTTTGGCTTTGAGCGCTTTTCTGTATATCTCTAAAACGGCTCGACAGAATTCTTTTTAAACCTCATAACACAATCTCCATGATGTATATATTAATGTCTGAAACTTTCATTCTGATTGATTCACTGCAACACCTTGAAATTTCAAGACCAATCTAGCCTACGAACCAACAAAAAATCCGCTTTCACTGTTTTGACGTTATGCTTATTTTTCCACATTAATATGCCCATCATACATACTTTTATGGCTAGTACATTTCAATGTGAGAATTGTCAATGTTTTACGTTCAAAATATGCAATAAAAGTCATACAAAAATTTTCATATCTTGGAGGTATGTATGGTGAGCATTAATTTGGAAAATTAGCATAACGTCAAAACCGTGAACGCGGATTTTTCGTTGGTTCGTAGGCTAGATTCATCTTGAAATTTCAAGATTTTGCAGTGAATCAATCAGAATGGAAGTTTCAGACATTAATATATACATCATGGAGATTGCGTGATGAGGTTTTAAAAGAATTCTGTCGAGCCGTTTTAGAGATATACAGAAAAGCGCTAAAAGCCAACATTTAGAATTAAGTTTCACTTAGAGAGGTGGTGAGAAAACAAGTTAGTTTTCATTATTGCAAGAAAAGAAATAAACCAAAATTTCCATGCATCGAAATATGATATTAAACAGCCTTCTGACGCCAATTAAGATTAATTTGAGTTATATATGTACAACTTTTTTTTTAAAATAATTTATCACGGCTATTGAAAATATGAGGTTTGAAATATATTAACGTTTTATTTGAATTTAAAAATACAGAATTTTTCAGTTCTCAGGGAGGTTATTTGCTAAATACCACTCTTTAAGTTCCTTCTGTCGGATTTTCAGTAGCAGGTCTAGATCGCGCGAAATTCGTATTCAATTGATTTCAAAGTTTTTTGTTTATTGTTTTCATAGTAGCTCATAGTGATATCGATTTAAAAAAAAACTGCATTTTGACAAACTTCAATTCATAGTTAATTACTGGCGAAAAGTTTGTGGCGATGGGACAAGGATAACATCACTTTTAAGGCGATTGAAAAACTGCGGTAGGGTCTACGAAAAACTGTTTTTATCAAAACAACTTAATGTTTGCCACGTCTTTTCCACATGTTAATTATAATTGCAATTGAGAGCAGCAGCTGCAGAACTTTTCACTTTCGCTTTATGAACAAATTTCCCTTCTGTTCCAAATTCAACAGCCAACGGGAAAAAGTATAATCAGGAACATAACTCAAAAAGCTGTTTTTCAGGTATTTTATAACTTAACGTATCTCCTTGAATTCTTCCTTTAAAACTAGACGCATTAGCTTCTTAAGCTGGCCTAGCAAGCTCCAGGTTTTCGAATACTTTATAACTACAGTACGAGTATAAGTATGAGTCTGTCCTAACCATTTTTGGTTTTAGTATTTTATGATTGAACTGCAAAAACAAGAAGAAAAGAAAACAATTGCCCGGGAAGAGTCTGCTCTGATTCGCATGATTTCAGAAAGCCTAATGTGAGAAACACTCTGATGCCCCTACAAAAGACTCTACATATAAACAAACAAATGCATTTTTGAGCAAATATCTTAACCAGTTTTGATTAAAATTTTTGTTCTTTGCAGAATAAGTTTGATCGAAGTTGAATAAACGGTGATTCTATAGCCATTAAAAGAAAGAGAAGAGAAAAAATAAACCTTACCATATAAAAGGCTGAAAATAAGGGCAAAAATACCTGTTTCTTGGCGAATCTGTTTAATCGGCCAGGTGGTTAATATTATGTATAGTGTTACAGACGCAAGAACTGAAACGACAAACAGCAAGTGTATAACAAGAGAATCCGGCGACATTGGCACACACACTGTAAACAGGAGCGCTAAATGTGATGACAACACACAACATTGCGCAATCGTGATAAAGTTTGCAAGCCAAAATGGTTACTTAAAGTTCTATAAATGTTGAAAGTCAGCTTATCTACCCAGACAGTCCTCCATAATAAAGTCTTCATAAACTATCTAAGAACAGTCATATTCTGTGCAAGCCATAAAGACGTTCCGTCAGTGTTTACCTTAGCTGATTGTGCCTTGGAAAACCAATCTTCGACATGAATTGTATCTATTGTAGGTCTAAGCGGGCTCTCTTGTTTGAACCGAAGGCGGCTTTCGCTGATAGGAAGGTGGTAAGATGTGTGTACTATGTTTCAATCAGCTTATTGTCTATTCCATGCGAAATCCTGACATTTATCGAACCGCGAAAAAGGTAGTGCTTTGCTAACTATTTAAGTTGTAAGCCGTAATCAGGAACTTTTTGGCTGCATTTCACTTACCTAAAAAATTTCTAGGCTGAAATGCACCAGTTTGAAACTTCACGGGGTCAGATTATACTGAATAAAATTGTTCTAAAATCTGCGTCATTTTAAATTTGGACTTGTTGAAATGCTTCTTGGGACCACTAACTTAATGCCTTGCGTCAGATAAAGGCTTTTAATCGGTCTTTGGATGATTTTTAATTGTTTTAAATTGCTAAGTGGCGGAGTGAGTTGAGTTTTTTGTTAATCCGGTTTGCCAAAAAAGCTAAGACTTTTACAAGTTAGAGCAAAATACTCTTGGAATAAAAC